TTTGCTGACATCTCAGACCGTGTTTGCAACAGGGACGGAGACTCATGACGGGGAAAGGAAAAAGGATCTCCGCTGGTTTTACACACCAAGAGGACAAGAGCAATATGTGAACACGGGCAAAGCGACACGTAGGGGGAAGTCGGCCGGGATCTGCGCTCCCCAGCATCATCCCCAAAACAGCAGCGCAGACCAGATGCCTCGGAAAGGGATGCTGTCAGGATGAGACCAACCCCAGCCCCGTGCTGGGGCAGTGACAGAGTCACCCACGTCCTGCCGCTCGCCATTAGGGCCACTTCATGCTCTTGGGGCAACACCAAAACGTGACTGCTTCAACCCCAACACCACATGCATCTGAATTCCGGGCAATTTAGTCTTTAATTTAATTCAAGATGCTCAAAGGATCCCTTTTAAGTACTGGGGCAGAACCATAGGTCGTGGGACACCATCCTCCCAGCTCCCCTGGAAGCAAAGCACACGAGGGCTCCTTCACCCTTCGGTGGAGGGGCCGCCACGTACCAACCCAGATGCAGCTCCCTCCTCTGCTTGGATTCCATCCTTCAGGCTCAAGCCGAGACCTTCCCCTTCTGGAGGCTCTTGCTTTAGACAGCTTCTTGGCCAAAGAGAAGACAGAGAAGGAACACAATTTTTTTTCCCAAATTAAGAAAACTTTTTGATAATCAAAGCAGGCAAGGAGAGCAGATGTGGACACAGTGCTCCTGCACACAACTCTGGGGCGAACCCAGATGGGGACCCCCAATATGGTGGGGGGTAAAGCCCCACTGATGCCATCTGCTCCCTGGCTGCCACCACCACCCCCCCACCCCCCCAGCTTAGGAGTTACCTGCTGATGGGGTTCTGCTGCAGCAGCTTCTCCTTGACCTCTGGCAATTCCTTCTTCTTCCTTTTATTTGCAGGGGACTGCACATCAGGACAGAGCAGTGTAAGAGAGAAGGAACGTCATGGAGGGGGTGTGATGCCCCCCCAAACACTGGGGACAGCCACAGGAGTCACCCCAAAGCCTGGGCATGGAGAGGGCTGGGTGGTACCTGCACCGTGCATGGTATTTCCTCCGGCTCCTTCACAGCCCTTCTCCTGGGTGTCTTCTGCACCTCCTCCCCCTTCCCCGACTCACTCTTTTGCTTCCTGAGGACGAGAACAAATTCACCCCACCGAGGCCAAGCAGGTAAAGCCTGCAGCAACAACCTTCGTGGTGGAAATAGGTCACGGAGCGATGCCACACTGCCTGACCCTGGCGTCCACCAGCACCAAAGCAGCACTTCCAAAAGGAAATCTGGATGGATTTCCCAACTGGTCATTTTAGGGTTGAGCTACCTGACAGAGCCATGATAATGTAATGCTGGAGGCCCCCCAAAATCCCCTGCCATGCCCCAGGGCACCCACCTGCTGCTGCTGTTCTTTGTCCCATGGGCCCTTGAGACTCCCATGGCTCCGTCACCCACCAGCTCTTCGAGATGTGACACGGGGTTAAGGCAGCGTTGCCAGCAACGGCCACTGCAAGGAGACAGAGATGACAAGTGGCCAGTAGCACCCCAGTTTTGCTCTCAGTGGAAACCCCAGCAGATGCTCGCTCCACAGCTCAACCCTGAAGTTTGCAGCTACCCACAGGGTTAAGCTCAGCCTTAACAAGGATCCAAGTAGAACATGACATGGAAAAGCCTCAAGCTCAGTCCCTGAGCTGCTGTTGGGGTGGCAAAAATAAAATTGCTGTTAAAATAAAAAGAAATCCCCCCTCAAATAGTACAGGAATCCACAGCTCCAGGTAGGTAGATGCAGGCTGTGTGCTGGGGTGGATTTGCACCCCCTCAGAACAGCCCAGGGTATGCAGCAAGTATTATCCAGGCCCTAATTACACGCAGAAAGCCACAACAGTGGAAGTCAACAAACCACAACAAAGCGATGAGCAAAAGTGAGATATTGTCTCCCCCCACGAAAGCAGGCAGCTGGGCCACCATCACCCAAGTGTCACCTCTCCCTCCCTTCTCATGGCCAAGGCAGCCAGGTCCCCCCCAGATCACCTCCTCCCCTTAGAAACTCAAGGCTTCAGAGGATGCAAGAAATAAAGCTCAAATTTAAACAAAGACCAAGGTAGTCCTTATGCACGAAGGGCCTTCACCATGGAGAGGGAAAAAAAAAAAAAAAAAAAAAAAAAAAGGGGGGGGATTATTTCAAGGAAAGAAAACAAGCACCATGAAACATCCTGCAAACTTCTCAAGGAAAACACATTGAAAAGCTCCATGTTTTACCAGCCTTTGCCAAGCCACGAGCACTTGCAGCTGCCAGTGAGACCACACTCAGGGTGCCATGCTCCCTCAAAGCCCCCCCAACTGGAAAAAACCTCCCCCCCTTCCCCAGCTGCCTCCCTAAGGGCAATACCCCACTGTCAACAGCTTATTTAAAGACTCCCTCAGCCCTGATTGGAGGCCCCTGACCCAAGATGCACCCTGGGAAATGAAGTTTTAGCCCCAAAACCGAATTTAAGGAGAAGCCTTAGCCAACATCTCTTCAGCAAGGAGATCCTCCAGGGAGGGGGGGAAGAAATACTTTGCATGGCTTAAGCAGAGAATGAGGCCAAACACATTGCTTTAAAAACAGCAGGGGGAAAAAAAATCTCCCTTCCAGAAAACATCCTCTCTGCAATTAGATGAATAAATCATTCCTAAAAATCACCCCTTTCTCACCTGCCTCTCACCCATCAGAGCCCCACGGTTGGATTTAGAGAGGACTGTGAGTCCAGACTCCAGCTGTAAAAAACAGACACCCCAAGATGCTGCATGCTACAGCCCATAATCCCCATCCTGAAACCCCCTCCCACCCCCCTCTTCTCCAGCCCTATTCATGCAGGTGTGTCTATTGCTTTCACCTGCACAACGTTGTCATCAAGCACCTCATCCCAGCTGAGCCTCAAAAAGGCCCCAAACATCCCCAATCCGGTGCAAGCAACGCTGCTGGGAAGGGGCTGGTGCAAACAGGGCTTGGGGGCTTTGCACAGCAAAGCTTTTCCTCCAAATGCTGGTTTTGGGGACAAAACACAAGTCCCTGCTCTGGGGGACAGGGTGTAGGGGAGGATTTTGTAGAGTCGGGCTGAGGGTTGGAATGGATGATCCTGAGGGGCTTTTCCAACCCGAAGGATTCTGTGATCCCTGGCCGGGGCAAGTAGCGGGGCCACACGTTCTCCTGGGAAGATGCCACCTGGTTTGTGGCCGGGAGCGGAAAAACCCCAGAGGCAAGGCTGGCTCTGGGAAAGCCTCTTTGATCCCGGTTGCACCACCTGGGAAACGGCATCCAAGCCACCTTTCTTGCTGGATGAGTAAAAGCCGTCCAGGGATGGGAGCCAGCCGTGGGGCAGGGAGCAGGAGAGGATGACTTCATGCCGGGGCTTGTCCACCCTTGGCCGCCTTCTACCCAGCCTATATTTGATTTTCTTCCATTTTCACCCGAGGTCCCATATAGATTCATTCAGCCCTGATGCTTGGGGAAGGTTTCTCCCAAGCTCTCCGTGCCAGCTGGGATACCCACAGTGGAAAACGATGGGGTTTGTAGGGTGGATGAGAAGGGAGTAAACCTGTCCCCACCTAAATGAGCTCCACTTTGCCTGTACATCCTTCCCAACCTGGGTTAAACATCTGTGTAATTAAGATGTGGGGTTTTTTCTGTATTTTTGCATATTTTCCCTTTGCAGACACTCTTCATCACAGGAGAGATGGGAGCTGGATGGTTCCATCCAAAGCCCTGCAGCGGGGAAACAGACCACAAAGGGAATTTGGCTCATCCTTTGGGGAAAACCAGGCTGGAAGGGGGTTCTCGTGCTGTTTGGTGACACCACGGCGAGCTGTCGAGGGCCATATGGGTGACAATATCTCACAAACTGTCGATCACAACCGGGCTGAAGGCAGCTCCCTTGTCAGCAGAAAAGTAAATATCTCCTCCCCCACACTTCCCGGTCATGCACTTAAAAGAACTTTTCTTTGCAAACCACTGCGATATTCCTCAAAAAAAAAAAAAAATCTCGCTGCCGTTCCTGATTAAACAGAAATTCCACCTTTCTAGTCCAGCAGCTCCTTTCAGATTGGGAAATCTAGACGGGAGAGAAAAGTCCTTCCTAACATATTCCTTTCCCCAGGATCACGTGCAATCCTTGAAGCCCCGATGAGGAAAAATTATCTGGGAAAGGTGGAAATGTTCTAATATATTCAGGCCGTTATAAAATAAATTCATGCAATGGAAAAGCTTTAATGCATAGCAGGTTATTTTTAAATTTTTTTTTTTTCCTCCTTGTTAAACAGCTGAATCTGCACCGTGTTCCCCATTGCCATGGCTGAGATTCATCAGGCACAAGCGTGGGCTCATTAACTTCATTAGAGAAACGAAGCCAGGCCCCAGTGGGGACTAACAGACCTTTTCGTGGTGACACACGCCGGGAAATTGGATTTTTCCAACCCCTGGACACTTTTCCACAAAATTTTTGCAGGATTTAATGCTGCCACCCAGCCCGGCTCTTAGTTTAGGGGTGTGATTAAGAGTAAAATCATTCTACAGTCCAACAATATGGCTCAGAGGTGGGGAAATGGGGTAGGATTTGCCTCTCTCTCTGGCTCAAAAAAGCGGATTTGATTTTATTTCTCCATTGATTTTTGTGTTGCATTTCGTATTTTATTGCCATTTGCCCAGGAGCAGCGTGTAACGGCTGTAGCGGGGCGAAGGGCACAGCAGCCCCAGGTGTGGCAGAATTGCTCCGCCAGCTGTGCCAGCTGCACTGTCACCATCCAGATGTTTTGTTGGGGTTTTTTTTCTGGGGTTTTGGTTTGTTGGGGTTTTTTTGTTTTTTTTTTTGGGGGGGGGCGATGTAGCACACAAAGGGGAGCGCCTGGGGCACCTTGGAGCTGAGTGGAGTGTGTCCACCACAGCAGCCCAGATGTC